AAAAAAGAGGAGAAAAGAGATAGATCTTATATGTAAAGCTGATAAAGGAGAAATTTCAGGATGAGGACATCTACTTGTTGCTTTGCGCAAAACATCGAAAGCAGGAAGTTGATTGAAAAGGAGATGACTGATTTCCCTCCCCCTCAGAAAAAAAAAACAAAAAAGAAAAAAAAACGAAAAGCTAAGGTTTTTTTTTTTATCTATCGTTGTCTGTTCATCTATTTGTCTCGCTTTTGGCTCATAATTCAAGGCTTAAGTTAAGTTAAAGCAAAATTTATGAGACAAACTTCATGTAGGAACATGTAGAATGAAGGCTAAAAATGATGACAAAAAAGAGAAATGAATGTCAAATGACAATAGCTTAAATGAAAAGCTTGTGATGGTTGATATAGAAGAAAAAAAAGAAAATTAAAAATTAAAAAGAAGTCGAAATATATTAAAGTAGCAAAAATATTTTCTTTAAAAACTAACAAAACTTATACTTTAAATAGATACTTCCTTTTTTTTTTTTTCTACCATGTTTCAACGAGTTTATTTATATCTTTCATCCGTATAACAGTCCTAAGGGAAGATATAACAAATATTTAACTAATGGGATTTTAAGTAGAAAACACATGTAAGGTTTAAATTTAAACTATGAAAGAAAAAAAAAGAAAGCATCTAATTGCTATGCTTTGCATATTTATGCTTTATCTTGAATTCTTTAAGAAAAAGAAAAGAAATTTCAGAATTCCTGAATGTATATGCATTTAATGTCATCATTTCATGCTTTATAATTCTATTTTATAGCAGGGCAATTATCCAATTTCAATTGATAATAGTATTAATAATACGCCACTGTAGCACGATTGCCTGTAATATCACATCTTTTTTCTTCTTTTTTTTTTTTTTTTTTTTCGTTTTGCTTTTTTACATTAAATTTGATTGTTCATGCAAATAAGAGAGTTAAAGTATGTGCAATCTATGTGTGCTATCATTGATATGATATCATCAATTATGATATCAATGATCATTAGTATTTGCTGGAGAAATTAAAATTTTAGTTTGATGAAAGGAAAAAATCAATTAGCATAAGTAGGAAGGATATAGGAAGTGAATAAAATAAGTAAACAAAAATACTTGAATAAAAATAACTGAATGAAAAAAAGAAGTAAACAGCAATTTTAAAAAGAAATTTAAAAAAATGAAAAAAATAAAAAGGAAAAAAAACAAGATACAACTATAATAGAAAATTTTGAGAAAAAAAAAGGACGAAAAAACAAAGTTTAAGTAATGGAGAAAAAAAAAAAACTTAAGCGTTTCTAATTTTAAATACCGTAATACAACAGATAGGAAGATGTGGAATCGTTCATTAATGATCAATAAAATATGATCGTTAAATAAGCAAAATTGTAAGAATATCATCAAATTATATCGTATCCCAAATATTCGTCAACAATTTTCATATAGGAATAGAAGTAATAAAAATAAAGGTAACCTAATTAATGGAATGATTTTAGATTAATGGAAATTTTTCATCGTTAAATTTAATGTTATTATTAAAATTCGAGAAAAGGAAAGGAGGAGTTATTTACAGGAAAGATAAAATAGAAATATGAATTCAGAAAGGAAATGGATGAAAATGTGAAGAGGAGGAGGAGGAGGAGGAGGAGGAGGAGGAGGAGGAGGAGGAGGAGGAGGAGGAGGATAAGAGGGAGGAATGGAAGAGGAATGGTGGAAGAGGGAAACCATGAAATTAAGGATGCTAATGGTGGTTACTGGTAGCTTCAAATGGATGATGCTTTCGTTGGTTTCGCAAAAATGGGAGTGGCATTTGAATTTCATTCTAGGCAGCTATGTCTATTTGGAAAAGAGACAAGAAAAAAAAAAAACAAAAAAGGAAAAATAAACCAAACCTTCAAATCTAACCATGTATAACAGAGAAGGTAAGTATTCTTTCTCTCTTTCATCCTCTCTCTCTCTCTCTCTCTCTTTCTCTCTGTT